AGGAGCTGTCTGAACATGTTTGCAAATATGAAGGAGATTCAAGTTCATATAAGCAAAAAAAGAGAAATAACTACATTTTAAAAATAGTCTAACTTACATAATTTCCATCCAGCAAAGGTAACTAAGGCTACATATGTAAGCAATACTAATACTGACTGGGTCTCAGTTGCATCTCAGCACTGACACATATGTCCCAGATGGATGTTACATAATGTTTTTGGAAAAATAAGCGTTTTCCAGTGATTTCTGAAAGTAGAACTGGGTGTGCTGTTATAGCCTGCTCCAGAAAGAACATTGTGTGTCCTACACACACTGCAATGAAACGCATTCCAAAGTGCCATGCAAAATGTCACCTTATCTCGCTTAAAGTTATTCCATCTAGTAATATCAGAGAAATTATGACAATATGTTGTTCTACATGAAAGTACATGACAGCGCTATTTGTGAGACCTGGCAGCTGCCACTCTCGGCAGAGCAGATGGCAGTGATAAAAACACAATGCAGGGAACAGGTTGATAAAGACATATCCGTCATTACACTTTCGCTGTACAATTACACTCAACTCCAAGATACAATCGGAATGGAATGCATGGCTGTGTCACTCTCCAGCAGAAAGACCTTGCTTATCTGAGGAAAACAACTCTTGTATAACAATTAATTTTTTTACATATTATTAATCAGAATTGTCCATCTCCTGTCCACAGGAGCAGAAAAACCAGCCAGGAAAGACATCCGAAGTCTTTCAAGCCTTATGTGTTCACACTTTTTTTGTTCCAGAGGTACAGACAACTATTCATCCCCTATATCAGAAAATCACAGTCAGCCATGATAACAAACACTCTCATGGCAATCATCAATTTACACTCCCAACTAAGGACCAGAGGGCATGTTACCTTCCATTTTCACTTTTTTTCCCCCCTTTCTTTTTTTTTTTGTTTTTGGGGGGTCGGGGGGGGAAGGGGGAGGTGCAAGCATTAAATGAGTGTAGTGCTGATGGAAGGTACCAGCCAACTACTCCTGGAAGCAGAAACAGCTCACTTACCCTATGGCACACACAGCGGGACAGCAGCAGTACCAGCCTTTCCTCCTCTTCATCCTTGCCCCAGGCAGAGAAGACCATTGCTAACACAGACAGGCACTTCTCTGTTGCGATGGCCAGTAAAGGCGTACACCACCTAGGCCAAACGTGAGAGCATCTTCCCGATGCAGACGGCTGGAGGGGAATTGATGCCATCATCTCATAGAAGCAGCAGTCACCACCAGCATGGAGCCAGTAACCCTGACGTGGCAGAGCTCCAGGTGCCCTCAGCAGCACAGCAACTGGACATCAGTCCTGCAGGGAGACTGTCAGAGCACCAAAATCACACTAAACAGCTTTCTCTCACTTCGCAGAATGAACAATCTACAGATGCCAGTTCGGCTTAAATCAACCATGGGAAATACTGACTCAGAGAACAAGGATGCTAAACAATATCCATAGCCTGTTAACTCCATTAAGATACTTGGTATCTTAATGGCTTTCTTTTTAAACAGGCAAACTAATAAAAGCAACCAGAATTTTAAGCTCTAGCTGAAAATCTGTTAGCTTTTGTAACAGAGAATCTAGACCCAGGGCACGAAGACAAAATGCATATATAATGTTTAATAGATGACCTCCAACCATACCTTTTCAATGTTGACTCCATCCTTGCTTATTAAGTAATCAGAGTAATTAACCTTGCAGTAGTTTTGAAATGTCTGTAAAATAAACAGTAAGAGTGGTTTTAGTGCTGTATATGTTCTTACAAGACGTTAGTGGAGAGCACGTCTTTTCCAAGATAAACAAAAATTAATCTCTAACAACACAATAATTAATGATATGCAATGTAAGACTAATGTACTGGTAACTAACATGACAAAATATAACATGGCTGATACACAACCAATAGATACAGCTAAATGCATATATAATTGAAATAGTTAGGAATAAAGATTAGCAGGTTTTAAACCAGTGTATAGCCAGAGAAAGAGCTGGTTTGCTAGGAAAACAGTGCTCATATCTGTCACTCATTTTGCTTCTACTAGAACAAAAGATAGTAAGCCTGATAATAACCTGTTAAGATATTCTATTTGAAATTCTTACATAAGATTAGCTATACTATTATATTTAAATCTTGTGTGGTTTACTGTTCAAGCATACGTATGATCCTGACACAATTTCAAAAATTTGAGCTAGTTTAGGAAACAAATTATTAAAAAACTGGCATCTAACTAGTTCGTTTCATGTAACAGTACACAAGCCTAATAAAGAGAGCAGAGCTGACAAGAGATGGAGCCCTGAAAGACGGTTATGAGGAATAAATTATCAGAAGATATTATTCAGCTGCCCCATCTTACTCCTGCAGCGCTCAGAACTTGGCGGTTCCCACGGAAGGTGGCAACACTGATCTTAAATGCAACTGCCTATACTAATACACAAAGGGAATGACAGAAGGACAGGACAGAAGAGAGGACAACTCACGCTGGCCAAGCACTGCAGCAGTGCTAGAATTAGACCCAGGATGCTCTCTGGATCGCTGTATGTGACGGGGTGGTGGAGAATGTTTCATCTCTAATAAAAACTCCAGACAAAGTCAACCCATCTGACACTATTTTGCCCATCAGCAGTGCAAGTAATTTACAAGTCCCTACTTGGGTTTATGTATTTGGGGCATCTGTTTAGTTTTTATTACTTCTGGCCTTGGCTTCCACACTCCTTCACAGATCAAATAACTGCTTTCCCTATTTGCTAATTCCAACAGCTGGTTATTACTCACCAGACTCCTGCTACACTCGCCTGGGGAAGAATCATAAATAAATGTGTACAAGCAAGCAGATGCTGTCAGTTTAAAAATTGATCCACCTAGTAAAAATGTCCTACTTAGGACTCAAGTGGTGAATCACTGAGCATGTGTCTTGATGTCATTTTAATAAGACCCCAAAACAATCGCAGGACTTTGTTCGTTAATTCAAATTAGTAAATGAGGAAAGAGAGTAATAAAAGAGAATATTACCACAAATAAATAATTAAACTCTGAGCAGGACAAACACCTGCTCTTTCCAATGAAGACAAAGGCAAGAGAACATACAGAGCATTTTTTTTTTATTTTTGGTATAACTAATCACTTTTCCACCAGTGGCAGACAAGGTAACATCGAGTAACCATGGCTCCTGGAATCTATGACTGTAAACAGAAGAGAGAAGTACAGACGGTTTATCAAACTTTATCATGTCTCTTAATTGTGTGCCTGTTTATTTGGGTTTTTTTAAGGAGCCAATTTCTTTCTGAATGTCAGTGCTAGGAGCAAGCGAGCTGCTTGGAGCACATTTAAAAATACACAGAATATAAAAGAGAACAAAAAGTGCTTTGCAGACTATACTGCAGGAAGCAGCAGGGAAAAAATCCTGGTACCAACTTTTCTTCCGTGTTTTAAAAGGGACATCATTCTGCACGGTTAGGCAGTTTGGCTTCCATGATATTTAAAAAATTTACTTCTGATGAAAACAGCACGAGTTTCAGTGATGGTGGCATAATCCACAGGGAAATCAATTTCTGCAGGTTACACAAACGACAACA